GAGGATAGATCCGTTGCAGAGCTACGAAGACGTTGTCTCTGAACCGTATCTTTTCTGCACGCATTCTGTGGAGCGGATCTATCCTCCTCACAATGTCTGCATTGAAACCTTCTAGTTGTGGGGAGGATAGATCCGCCCCAGAGCCAGGTAGATATCGTGTTTAAAGCGGATATATTATGCGCACATTCTGTGGAGCGGATGTATCCTCCTCACAGTATCTGCATTGACACCTTTCAGTTGTGGGGAGGATACATCCACATCAGAGCGACGAATGCGTGTCATCCCTACAATGTGTGCATCGTACCCTTACTCCCGTAATCGCCGAAAGGCGGCGCCGATGGGTACTATAAAGTGACGAAAGTTGAATTAAGCTAGCGCTAATAAACACAACAAAATTTGATGATTTTAGAGGGCCTCTGGTTCTTCCCTCAGCTACTGAACAGTAAGGGTAAGAGAAAACATTGTGGGGAGGATGTGTCCACTCCGCAAAACTGAAATGATACTGAGAGCACTGTCTAGAAAGCGCAAGCATCGTGGGGAGGATAAATCCTCCCCACAATACATGAGCCTCAGCTTCCGGGACGATGGGTACAAGAAAGTGACAAACTTTGAGATAAGCTAGAGCCACTGAACACAACAAAATTGCCTCTGGTGTTTCCTTCAGCTACTGAACAGTAAGGGTAAGAGCAAGCATCGTGGGAAGGATCTATCCTCTCCACAAAATTGAAGTAATACCTAGATAACGGCTTGGAAACTTGAATTAAGCTAGCGCTAATAAACACAACAAAATTTGATATTTTATAGGGTTTCTGGTCCTTCCCTCAGCTACTGAACAGTAAGGGTAAGAGAAAACATTGTGGGGAGGATATGTCCGCTCCACAAAACTGAAATGATACTGAGAGCACCGTCTAGAAAGCGCAAGCATCGTGGGGAGGATAAATCCTTTCCAGAATACACGAGCCTCAGCTTCCGGGCCGTACAAGAAAGTGACGAACTTTGAGATAAGCTAGAGCCACTAAACACAACAAAATTGTCTCCGGTGTTTCCTTCAGCTACTGAATGGGTACAAGAAAGTGACGAACTTTGAGATAAGCTAGAGCCACGGAACACAACAAAATTGCCTCTGGTGTTTCCTTCAGCTACTGAATGGGTACAAGAAAGTGGCGAACTTTGAGATAAGCTAGAGCCACTGAACACAACAAAACAAGCTAGAGCCTACTTAACAGTAAGGCGAAGAGCAAGCATCGTGGGGAGGATCTATTCGCTCCACAAAATTGAAGTAACACCTAGATCATGGCTTGGAACTTCAGCTACTAAACAGTAAGGGTTATAGAAAGCATCATAGGGAGGATCTATCCGCTCCATAAAAATGTCTTTGGTGTTTCCTTCAGAACTGAACAGTAAGGGAAAGAAGAAGCATCGTGGGGAGGATCTATCCGCTCCACAAAATTGAAGTAATACCGAGAGCACTGCTTGGAAATCCCCACATATCCGGAATGCCTCTAGTGTTTCCTTCAGCTACTGAACAATAAGGGTAATAGGAAGCATCGTGGGGAGGATCTATTCGCTCCACAAAATTGAAGTAATACCGAGAGCACGGCTTGGAACTTCCCACATATTCGATCTCCCATATGGAGAGCCCGGAAGGCAGCGCGGAGGGGTGCTAGCAGGTAACGAACTTTGAATTAAGCTAGCACTAGCGAACACAACAAAATTAGATGATTGTACAAGGCCTCTAGTACTTCACTCACCTATTAAAAATCAAGGGTAAAATGACGCATTATCGGGAGGATCTATCCGGTCCACAAAACTGAAGTGATAGTAAGGCACGACCTTGAAGTCCACACACATCAGCTCGGGAGGATGCACAACCTCACATTGTGTGAAGGATAGATCCTCGACACAACGTGAGGTTGTGCATACTCCCGAGCCGATGTGTGTGGGGCAGATATCCTCCAAGCCTTGCTCTCCGTGTCACAGTGCGTAGCGAAACCTTCCAGTTATGTGAAGGATACATCCGCCGCAGGGACCCGACCACATCAGTTGTGTCACTACATCTGCTCGGGAGGATTCACAACCTAACATTGTGCTGCGAATAGATCTGCTTGTGATATGTGGCCTCGTTTCTGTGCGGCGGATCCATCAGCCCTAGAGACGAGGCCACATCTCTGGAGCGGATCTATCCTCCACACAACATGACGTTGTGAATCCTCCCGAGCTGATGGTCAACCTTCGTCGGTCAATCTCTACATAATTCGTTTTTGTTGTGGCGGATATATCCGCCGCACAGGTCTTGACACTTCGTCAGGTACTGACACTTCATGTTCGTCGCGCGCAGATATAAAATGGCATCCGACGGGACTGGAGAACAACATGACACCGCCCGACCATCTGTCGAAGAAGTGACGCTTGGGGCAGGCGGGAACCGTGAAGGGAATCTACCGACCTCGGGTACACCGCCAAGCAACGAACCGTCCGTCCGGGGCGCCGCTCTTGAGTCATGTGGGAACCGTGGTGGGGCTGCAACGACATCGGGTACTGCACCAACTGCCGAACGGAGGCGTCGGGTATGTTCGTCAAGCGAGAGGAAGAATCCTCAGTACTATAAGCTAAACAACCGTTCGTGGTATGTCGACTGGGTTTCGGAAGATCCTTTGGCGCCAACTAAACCGCCGTGTGGAGTTGTCCTGTACATCAAGGACCGTAATGTGATTCGGCTGCTGGGTGGGAAGATTGTACCGAGGGGGTCCGAACGTTTCACATTCAGACGGTGTACACAAAGAGTGGGGAGCCTGACCACGACGCCAGAGGTTGTAGATTGAAGTGGACTAATTTCCGGGGTTTCGGAAACGCTGCCATGAGTCTTCCGTTTTACAGTCCTGTAACCTGTGATTTAGAAACTGATGTTGCCTTGCGTTGTTTCTTCGATGACTTGGAGAGAACAGTGTCGCCAGACAAGTGTAAGGACGTGTCGTTCGGTCGTCCCATTTCCTTGCCCATTGCCGCAGTCGGTATTGAGCCCATCAGGACTCAAACTTCCGAAACAGCGCTGACTAATGAGGGTACAATGACGAGGACATCTGTTGAACTTTTAGACCCTAATTTCGTTCCCCCGCAGCCGGAACACTCTCAAGCGTATGAAGAGTCGAAGCCTGAAATTGAAGTTGTTGAGGGTGTAGTAAAGAAGACCCCTGCCGGAAAGGGGGGTAGAGGTGAATCAAAGGCAGAACATTTGAAGAGGAAGACAGTCACCATCCGGGAAGGTGGTGGAGCTGAATCAGAGGCTCTGGTGCGCCGACTGATTGTTGAGGCTGGTGGTGACGGAAAGGGGAAGCATCCCTTACCGCCCGGGAAGGACGTGGAAGAGGAAGTCTCTGACGAAGAGGGGGGGGGCGATGAGGATACCCAGGTTGTGTCGGCAAGGGAGAAACGAGTTGGGAAAGGGTCTGCCGAAGGGGGAAAGCAAAAAAAGAGAAAGGTGAGTAGTGCCCAGGGAGCCGGGGTGAAGAGAAAGTCGACGGAAGGGGGTAAAGAGACTAAGAAAAAGAAACGCCAAGGTGCAACCGGAAAGGGATCGACGAAAGCGAGGAAGGACAAGGACCAGGTGGAGGGAGAGGAGGGGGGTGGTTCGATCGATAGAATTATCGATTTGGATGCAGGTTACTTTCAGGAGTGGAAAACGGGTGTGAAGAAGAATGTAACTCTTCTCGTTAACCCGGATAGGGTCATTCCGTTGCCGCTGTGGGAAGAGCCGTACAATCACCGTTCCATAGGCGACACCCACGTGGAGTTTATTTTAAAGGTCATGCTGAATGCCTACTTGAAGCCAAACCACACCTACGAGAAGCCAATCGTTAAATTGGCAGCAATCAGAGAGCCACCTAAGGAAGGGGAAAAGTTGTCTGTATTACACCGGACGAGTTCAATGAAGATAACCCAAACGAGCACTGGTATTATGTCGTGAGCGGGCAGCACAACATGAAGGCCGCTTTGTTGCTGAGGAAGCATGAAATTTGGGAGAAGCACTCGTTCTTTGAGTGACCCTTTAAACCGCTGTACTTCTCGGACGAGGACTTCGACGGTTATACCCCAGATCAGTGTAATCGACAATAGAGGACAAGGTTGCCCCTCCTAGGTCCCAGCTGTTGTCTATGATCGACATGCGACAAATTTGGGAAAATCTGGGATGTCCTCGTCCAGTGGCTGGGAATGTTAAGTTCAAGCAGAACTTGGTGGCCAATTATGAGAAGTTTCAGAAACAGGCGCTTAGAAAGACACCATACCACAACCTGTGGGGCATTGTAAATAGCAGCAACAAAGAAGATAAAAAGGTGTGGCAAGAGAAACTGAGGTACTTTCTGCCTCTCGTCATGAGCGATGACCAAACGTGGGAGCTGGGTATGAAGTTTTATGAAGAGTGGACGAAGGGTCAACTTCTCGCTCCACAAGGCGCTCTGTGGACGAAGAGAACTCCTACGTCAGACCCGAAAGTCACTCAAGGGGGTCAATCTTTTGCAGAGGACAGCAGCGGCCAGAAGAGAGTCGTGTACAATGTTGCGGTTACAGATCCAGAGCTGCGCAAAGGTAAAAAACGGAGGAAATAGGAGGAGCGCAACTTTTTTGTTCAGGTCAATGAACCGGATGTGCATTGCTGGAAAGAAATGGGGGATTTCACAGATCTAGAAAAACAACGACTTCTGAGGGGTGTGCTGGACCTTAAGATTATGTGGGTGCAGCAAGGGAGCAAAAAGCTAGCTCAGCACGGGAAAATGGGGATGAAAGACGCCTGTGAGATCGTGAAGCAGAACCGCCTGCTACTTCGGCTGTGGCATATAATTGAGTTCCAGCACCAGGCCCAGACCAGTGATGAGTGGAATGTTGATTTCTTCCGGACGAGAGAGCAACTATTAGCGCAATACGGGTCGAAGGGGTTGAAGAAGAAGTTGTGGGCGGCTTGCAGGAGATTTGTTACGGATCATTCATACCAGAAGGACTGCCCCCAGTACCTCGGTTGTGCTTCAGATAAGGAGCTG